CACAGGGTCCCAGTTACATCCAACAATAAAATGTATAAGAAAAACAGTAATAACATCTAAGATATGAACTAAGAAAAACATCAACTAAATATACACTAAGCACTCATAACATAAAACATTGAACATCAGCACAAACATGAACATGAGTCTGTGAGCAGATGTGCACGCATGAACACATCAACATTGAAACAGATCAGCAGCAACATGAAACAGATCAGCAGCAACATGAAACAGATCAGCAGCAACATGAAACAGATCAGCAGCAACATGATATGGTTTTTCACAGTGATTATTCTAGTTAGAGATTCATGAGTCTAACAGCCTCAGGGTAGAAGCTGTTCCTCAGTCTAGTGGTTCTACACTTAATGCTCCTTAACCTCCTTCCTGAGGGGAGTGGGGCAAAAAGTGTGTGTGCTGGGTGAGTGACCTAACCCTAACCCTATGTCTGGAGGACGTCAAAGCCTGGATGGCTGTGAACTTCTTAAAGTTTAATGAAGGAAAGACTGAGGTGATGGTCTTTGGAAGCTCCACTGAGACTCCCAATGTCAATGTCGGTTCATTGGTCCAGTACATCAGGCCAGTTATTACAAACTTGAGGGTCAAAGTCGATGCTGGACTAAAATTAGAAAATCACGTCAGAGCAGTTGTTAAAACTTGTTTGTTCCATCTGAGGCAGCTGAAGTGAAGCCGATTCTTTCTAAGCAGCATTTTGAAACATTAGTTCACGTCTTTGTGACCTCTCAGCTGGACGACTGTAACGCACTCTACAGGAATCAGTGATTCATGTATCTGTCAGCTTCAGAGGGTACAGAACGCTGTTGCACGCCTTTTAACTGGCACACCAGTTTGACCACATTTCTCCCTGCACTGGCTGCCCGTACATTACAGGATTCATTTTAAAATTATTTTATTTGCTTTTAACGCTCTTAATGGACTTGCCCCGCCCTATCTGTCTGAGTTGCTGCATCCATACACACCCTCTGGACCCCTCAGGTCATGTGATCAGCTGCTCCTGAGTGTGAGCTCAGAGGAGACCGTGCTTCTGCTGCTGCAGCTCCTAAACTGTGGAACGACCTTCAATGAACATCAGACTCTTCCCTGTCAGTTTTTAAATCCTTTTTAAAACCGTCTCTTCTCCGTGGCCATTGACACCATTTCAGATGCTGACTTTTAATCATTTTTATCATTTTTATTATCTGACTGTATGATTGTTTTGTTGTGTGTACAGCACTTTGCAGCACTTTGGTCCTGTGGGTATTTAAAGTGCTCTATAAAAAACGCTGGTATGGTGTGTGTGTGTGTGTGTATATATATATATATATATATATATATATATATGTATATATATATATGTGTGTGTGTATATATATGTGTATATGGTGTTTTAAACCCTTTTCATTCTACCTTTATTTAGACAGGTATATCCCATTGAGCTTCGAGGCCTCATTTACAAGAGAGATCTGATTTCAACAAAGAATGATGACAACAATGGACAGTTACAGTACCTTGTGAAAGTATTCGACCCCCTTGAACTTTTCAAACTTTTGCCACATTTCAGGCTTCAAACATAGATATAAAATTTTAATTTTTTGTGAAGAATCAATAACAAGTGGGACACAATCGTGAAGTGGAATGAAATGTATTGGATGTCAAACTTTTTTTAACAAATAAAAAACTGAAAAGTGGGCGTGCAGTATTATTGGGCCCCCTTGTGTTAATACTTTGTAGCTCCGCCTCTTGCTGCAATTCCAGCTGCAAGTCTCTTGGGGTTTGTCTCCATCAGGTTTGAACATGGAGACACTGAAGTTCTGCCCATTCTTCCTGCAGAACAGCTGGAGCTCAGTGAGGTTGGATGGAGAGCGTTTGTGAACAGCAGTCTTCAGCTCTTTCCACAGATTCTCGATTGGATTCAGGTCTGGACTTTGACTTGGCCATTCCAACACCTGGATACGTTTATTTGTGAACCATTCCATTGTAGATGTGTCTTTATGTTTTGGATCATTGTCTTGTTGGAAGATAAATCTCCGTCCCAGTCTCAGGTCTCTTGCAGACTCAAACTGGTTTTCTTCCAGAATGGTCCTGTATTTGGCCCCATCCATCTTCCATCAATTCTGACCATCTTCCCTGTCCCTGCTGATGAAAAGCAGGCCCAAACCATGATGCTGCCACCACCATGTTTGACAGTGGGGATGGTGTGTTCAGGGTGATGAGCTGTGTTGCTTTTACTCCAAACATATCATTTTGCATTGTGTCCAAACAGTTGGATTTTGGTTTCATGTGACCAGAGCACCTTCTTCCACATGTTTGGTGTCTCCCAGGTGACAAACTTTAAACAACACTTTTTATGGATATCTTTGAGAAATGTCTTTCTTCTTGCCACTCTTCCATAAAGGCCAGATTTGTGCAGTGTACGACTGATTGTTGTCCTATGGACAGACTCTCCCACCTCAGCTGTAGATCTCTGCAGTTCATCCAGAGTGATCATGGGCCTCTTGGCTGCATCTCTGATCAGTCTTCTCCTTGTTCCAGATGAAAGTTTAGAGGGACGGACGGGTCTTGGTAGATTTGCAGTGGTCTCATACTCCTTCCATTTCAATATGATTGCTTGCACAGTGCTCCTTGGGAGGTTTAAAGCTTGGGAAATCTTTTTGTATCCAAATCCAGATTTAAACTTCTCCACAACAGTATCTCGGACCTGCCTGGTGTGTTCCTTGGTCTTCA